ATTCGAACATAGGCAATTTCGGGTAAATGTTCACGCTTTTTTAAATGTGGAAACTGATTGGGAAAGTCTCTTAGCAAATCCATTGCTCTAGGCATTTGTTAATATTCATTCATGGCCAGAAAACTCAACTAAACTCTCGCCCAGTACCGTACATCTTCCGAGAGGACCGATTTCGTGTACGGTAGTGGGCCAACTGCCCATTTGTAGTATTTATTGTGTAATCACGGAAAAGATCTCTGAAAGTCCATGCTAAGTCTGTTTTATGTTATTTTTTAGATGCCGAATGCCATTCAAATTTTGATGCTTTGATTCGGCTAGTGGTTCCCTCGACAAGAGATGCAACTCGTGCCGCTGTGCTCGCATTTTTTGCGCTGTCAACGACGCTTTTGTTCTTGACGAACCCAAATCAACCTGAGATGGATGTGGATCGCTCAAATGAGGTACGCACTCGAGACTCCATTTTCTATCACAGAGACATTCCCCGTAATGAATCCATCTATTTTCTAGGTTTTTGCTCCCGGCCTGCAGAGCCGGGAGGACTTTGGACGAGCTGACACTCCACTCATGCGTCGACGTCGTTATAATTTCACTGAAAAAGTAAAACTAATATTTTTCAGCGAAAAGAAGCAAAATGAGAATTTATGATTTCCAGTTTTTATGTAAAGGCTGGCAGGTGCCTGCCTTGTCTACAACGCCACCATCATGGCTCAAGATGGATCCTATTGGGCTCCCTCCGCTTTTTCCTCCCACTAATGCCAACTTGACGCCTGCAGTTGAGGTAAAATCATGTTGATAAAGAAAGATACCCTGATTGGTGTAACATTTTCATAAAAAATTGCTGCTTCATGGACGCCAAAGTGTTTATAGTGCAGTCCCATACGAAGGCGAATGCCTAAACAAGCGTGCGCGAGCGGATGTGCAGGCGGGTAGAGTCCATAGGTTCTGCGCTCCATCAGCGATAAACCATTCGCCTTCGTTTGGAAATAGACTTTATTCGAAATTTGACCATCTGCGAAATTAAGATTTCTAATTTTTTCAATTACATTCCTAAATTTTGCGTAATTTAATGTTCGATTCCAACTTTTCTATTAGATTATTTTTCGATGAGAAAATGAATATGGTGGAGACATCTGTAATCAATTTGTGGGACTGCACAGTGCGCGCGGCACCTCACGGATACTTTCTTGAATAAGCAGGAAGTAATGACCTTACACACTGCTGCTTTTATCTATGCATAATTTTGCCTCAAACTCAGAGAGAAAAAAACACAAAAAAGGGAAAAAGTACTGGTAATGTTTCATTATTATATCACAATATTTTTTTGATATTCTGTTCAAAATATGATTCGAAAATTATAGATCAATGAAGAAGCGTTCTTCGGTCGCCCTACGATGGTGGTCTCTTCAATATCCATTTCCTCTAAGGTAAGCGCTTGTCTCTCATTTTGTTTCATTCTGCTGGGGAACAACAAAGTAGGTAATTCTATGGAATCTTATTTTCCCGCTTATTAATCTTTAGAAAAAGCTAGCGCCAGCTTGACTGAAACAAAACTGCAATACTTTGATGTACGCGAGTGCTGCCTCATGCTGACGCGAAAAATGAGTTTCATCAAAAAATCGCATTATCTCGAAACCAGTTGCACACTTGCATTTTTCTAGCACGAGATTAATGGTCAGGAACTATAATTTTGCAGAAACCAGTCACTAGCGTTTCTATGCACTTTTATAACACGAAGCTTTTTGGATATTAGCGAGGTTCTTCTGGTGTTTTGGGTGTGACATTTTAAGCAACTTGGCAAATTTCGCGCGCAGGCACGCTTCGCGAAGCGTTCGCAATCGCAGCGCAAGCCACAAAAGCTGAGTTGGGGTCTTGGCTAATACAAGTTTGACATGATTCAGTGACATGCCGCGGGATTAGGTGCTGCTTCAAATTGTGCGCGTTTTGCAAGTATTGGCGCGTCTCGTGAATGCCGCTGCGCATACGCGTTGCGTACTTGTGCGCTGCCTGCTACCGTAATTTAAAGATCATTCTTCTTTTGGGGAGGTATCTAATGGAATGCCTATGCGTATGCGCGCGTTAGCGTCATAGAATCTCGTATTTAGGTGCAGGATACATTCATGCATGTTAGTTTCTGCAAAATCCGTAGTTGCGACAACACTACACTTACGCCAGAAAACATCATTCGATCACTAGTAAATAAGTATGAAGACGTTATATATCATCAGTCTAGACTGCGACTACGAGAGCGCGCGTGTTGCGTAGTCAATCAATAATTTGGTCAAACGCCCATGTTGTGCGTACTGCGCCAGCGCGTCCTCCCGCGGGAGATGCGGAAAAAGGCGATTTCAAATTTCGCGCCTAAACCACACGCCCCGCCTCCATTGGCGCTAAAAACAGAGGTTGAGGATCTAGCCGATATGGATCCTAACATGTATAATGGCGTGATGCAAATGTGGGCGGAGCTTCAAGTTGCTGCATCTGCACATAATATGATCGATTGTGGCCTATTTGCACGACCGTAATGCTGTCGAGACATTTCCATCCAGGACCTAGTGCATGTGGAGCTCGCTAATGGGCGTGGCCTGAAGTTGTCAGGGTTTTGCATGTATACTCGCCTTCC